AAATGCCCTTGCGGTACCTGAGGGTGGAAGCCCATATACCCTCATGCTCCAACCCTCTTCTTGAAAGCTCAGGAAGTTGTGCTTCCTTAGTCAAAGCATTGCTAGCATGCCTCCAATTGACAAGATCCTTAGTCGCAAATACTGGGATCCCAGGGAGGGCCAAGAACGAAGACGTAGTGCAGAAGAATGTGCCATCTAGTTCTTTGACGAAGGTACAGCTAGGGTCTGTGTTCCATCCTGGAAGGATAGGATTCGTATACTCTTGTTGCTTGGGCTTCTGGCTGCAAGCGACCTGACAAACAGCCAAGCCCCAAGCAAGCGTATAGAGCAGGCGTTTAGCCATTAAAGAAGGAAACACAAATAAGAGAGTATATATGTGGTACTAACTGAGGCGCACCAGGATACTGGAGCTTACTTATTACCTGTGTTATACCTTCCAAGTTATGATTACGTCTTTTATAGTTTACTCCAGGACGCTGATAATACAATAGCCTAAATTCCGGTTAATACCCCGCTCAAACAATCTACAAACTGCTAAACATTCACCCGCAGAAGAATTATGTGTTGAATTACATTACCCGTGTACTGATCCTTGTAGATGCATGAGATGACGCAAAACGACCCATATAATGACAAACTGAACTTGAGTAGGCACAGCTCGTGAAAAATAGTTCCGAAACAGCACAGTGAATTTTAGTATGAGAAATTCTTCCCACAGCCCGGACGTATGCTTCTTCCGTAGCAGTATTCTTTGCCTAGCCTTCGAAATACGCCGTGTATGTTCCGTATATGCTGCCACGCTCGATTCCCTCACCAGGGCCTATCAGGCTGTACATCTTGTCTACGTCCTCGTTAGCGTCGCTGTCTCGAAAAAGAGTGAGTGGCGTGAGAATATTCTTTTCGTTCCATAGTTCGTTTTGTGCCAGGGAACCAAAGATAGACGCAAGGCTAGGAAGATCGGCAATGTCCCTGTTTGCAGCTAGTGATAGGCGAGATCGAACCGTCATTAGATGCGCGAGGTGCGTAGCTTTCCGGCCACTGAGTTAAGACGCCAGCATATTAATAATCGCTTATCTGAAGTCTACGAAGGGAATCCTATTATTACCACAGGCTAGATAGAGGGCTCATGTAGTTGAGAATACAGCACTTATTGAACATCCGAAATTTCAGAGAGAAGATGTAGCGAATAAGTATATTCTGTCTTCAGCTATTCCTTAGTACCAGTCCCATGTATCTTGCCTATCCATAGTAGATTTTACTATTGAAAAACTGCTTGTGATAATATGACTTATATTATTTGTAGTTGAGACCTATGGCTGAGAGCTATATAGAATTTAGTTTGTGGGCAGTTTACGAGAAGACGACATTTATATGTGTGAAATCTTTAACTTTATTAGATTATTGCTTTTGTCCCTTTATCAGGTTGCACGAGAGCATGGGGTTTACCTGGACACAGTTGAAAAACTTCCAGATGATTGGCTACAGCGGACATAAAGGAAAAAGAAACGTATCATGCGCCCAAGTTATTTAAATGATTTTTAAACAGCAACAATATAGTCAGAACGGTAACCAGATTTATCACGACGCGAACTTGTGCATTAAACTGATGACTCTTTTGTACTCTGTTGGCAATATTTGGGGGAAGGATGCCTATTGGCTTAATGCTGATCTAAAGGAGATTGCCCTCTAATTAACACACATAAGTGACTTAACCAAAGCATGATTGCGGAAGAGCTTGTGGACGACCAAATGGCACATACATGTCCTCAGACCTGATTCAGAGGTTCATGCTGGGAACTTATCCCTCTAAATGAGAATGGCGTCGGCGCTGCTTCAATACTTCCTCTCACTGAGCATAATTGGATGCCCATCACCAGCTGTATCGAGGAAACTTTAATCAATCAAGTTTTAACTTGTTATGATAATGAAGGGTTATGCAATTGAAGTTTATAATCAGACATTGAAAAAGTGTATGTTTGTGGAGGGTCAGGTGACTTGAGACTTCTAACGTGTCATTTTATTAAGATAAAAAGACAATCCAAAACGAAGATATGTTACTAGAGATGGTGACATCTCGCCCTGACCAATTCTAGCCCATTATCGACCGAGAACAAGGAAAGCAAAACCTAACAGGCCACGGTAAACAGTAAGGTAATCCCTTTCTCGTTTCGCCAACTCCTCCTTAAGCTGTTGCCCGAAAGGACTCTCTGGACTCTCAAGGATCAAGGCTCTCTGGCCTGCTCGATGTTTTGACTCGAAATCATCCCACTCACGCTGGTCAGCTACCCCCAGATTCAAAACCTCCCATCCAGTCTCTCGACTCGCAGCGACTAACTCAGCTAGTGTGAGAATATCACTACCAAATAGTTCCAGGGCTGCATTGGTTGGAGACTGATTCCAGATCATATCGCCAACGAGAACTCTGCCCTTTGGGACAATTTTGGATAAGCGGTCGAACATCGCTTTACTGCCCCCAAGCGCATGCGACGAGCCTATGCAGATAGCTCTACTTGCAAGTCCAGTATACACGCTGGCGGGTTGCTGATTGAACTCCACATTGAGCCCTCGATCCTCAGCTAGTGCCCGAGCTCGTTCAAGATGCGCAGCATCTGTGTCAATTCCGACCGCAGTGATTTTCTCTCTGTTTCGCGAAACTGCCCTGAGAAGGATCTCTCCCCACCCACAACCCAAGTCAATAACAGTGCAACCGTCAAACAGCTGGAGGTGGTCAAGAAGCTCTGCTGCGCGGGTTTCAGACAGTGGTGCGTTCCATATCATGGCGGCGTATCGCGCCTTAGTAAAGTTTTTTTGTTCCATGGAACAGGAGTGGAGTTGAGGTAGTTAATATAATGTTGATTCTTGGAGAGAAACGTGGTCTCGACAAGGCGCGTAATGCTTGAAGTTAGAGGGAGGGCATGTGTTCGAAGTTGGGGATGTACCAAATATAAGCAAGGTGGGGGATGAGTCACAACTTTACAAGCGAAAACTGCTTTACCCGGTTAACTGTGTATTCCGGGTCTGGGAGCTTGACAGGGGTTTAACCAACTCATATATGCTGATAAATATACTATAATTAGAGCATAACATCCCTCTCGTCAAGCAGATCGGTAAGACTTCTAAGCTCTCCAGGTCTGTTTTGCAAGTCTTTGCTATCCCAGTAACAAACAGGGATGGCCGGATGATGGCACAGCTAGATACAGCGCGTGTTGCCACTTGCTCCGAACGTCGAGGTTCTCATTAAATTTGAGGGGCTCAGAACAACGCGACGCAGGGAGCCGCCGTTGCCGTCTACTCCGATTAAAACGGCCAGACCTTGTTCATAAAAGCATATTGCACTGGTTTAGAAGAGAGTTTGTGGGAACGCCAGCAGTCGACGGTAATGGATCCCAGTAGTGCGCCTTAGAAGATGGTACCTAATTGCGGGCTATGAAATCTGAAATATCCTTCATTTCATTATCTCTTGTATAGAACTTTTTACATAAATATAAGATATTTTCTTACTATTATGCACATTTATTTATGCCTTTTCCATATATAAATATTGCGCTGCTGGGCAAAAATGTATATTTGCTTCCTCTGGACTTTTCGAGATGTTTGGCCATTTTCCAGCCCCCCATCTCAATCAATAGGAGCTTACAGAGACAAAAAGCTTATTTCGCCGCTAACATTATGTGGGCAGTTTCAGGTTCGCCAAAATTACCTTTGCCGAACTACACTAAATTGTTTGACAGGCGTTCAACGTTGGAGAGGACGATAAGGCGGCTTGTTCAGAGTGACTGCCAATCACGAGTTTGCATTATGGTGGTCTTGAGTTTGACTGGTTCGAGCTACCCGGGACACATGGATATGTATATATCGTAGAGGGGAAACTCTATGTAAGAAATATTGATAGAAGTACATGCTTTTAGTCCCATTTCTTACAATTTCTCGTGTGTTTAAACGTCTTCTAATGCTTTAAGTGTCTTGCAGACCGGATAGAAGCAGGATGGTTTTCCAGCACTCTTTGGGGCATTCCTTGATGTCGTTATGTTCATCCGCTTCTCGAATTGCGCATTACTTCATTCGACTCGCCAATAAGAAAATAATCTATTTAGTAAGTACAGAAGAAACAAGTTCAACAACAGTATCTCGACTGAAGAGGAGATACTCGCCAGGAAACAATATCTCCTTGTTGAACTGCATATATCGAGGCATTGGGTCCAAGAGACTGGAGCAATATCCTCAGGCGCGGACATGTTTCGCTATTTTGATATCAACAACACCCTGAACCTCATGTAAGGAACATGTCGCTCTTCTCTCTTCAAAGGAGTTCCTGGAGGACCCTGATCATAACCCTTGAAGTCGCATGAAGGCATTGGTGTGCTACCCAAGGGCTGTTTCACCAAATGAATGTTGAATTTGTCCTCTACTCTCGAAGGATTTCAGAGCGTTGTACAGAAGAGGGATGATCGGGAAAATCTCGGGGCTTAAAAATAAGGCTTGTTCATTGGGAGTCCAGATAACGATGGTTGGCTCAAACATAAGAACAATTAGCTATCAACCAAGTCCGTCAGTAGCACAAGTTTTGAGTTTTGCGGGAAACAAGTCGTACGGTATCACGAGGGTAGAATTGAAAGGATGGCTGAGCTTGGTAAAGACTTCAGGATACTAATTGAAGGCCATACAATGTTAATCCTGTGAACAAGGAATATCGTACTAGGACCTATATTATAAACATTGCTTTGCACACTCTTATATTGAATTAACCATGAGGGGCAAGAAAGTTTTAAACAATAATGTAAAGTGGTAAAATAAGCTTATTAAAAAGTCTTCTAAGATTATACCAACTTACCCAGGTCTTTATATTACTTAGGATTAAGTTCCTATGTTTTCTTGCCTCCCCTAGATAACCAAAAAAGGAACAATAAAATTCCAGCGCATCAGTGTACTTCGGATAATTCTCTATTATAATTTGAGTACATCCTAGTGTAAAGACTGCAAAATCTATTCTATACTTATTGTCAGGTCTTTGTCTTCTGATGCTTAGTATGCCTTGAGAACGGTCTAGAGAATACCATATCCAGAGTGAAGCTGAACAGGTATCCAATGGGCTGTACTGTATGCACTGCTCCCGCCGTGATTCCAGAGATAACGCAAACAATGAATATCCTCGGCCGCACTCGGTCTTCACCAAAGTCGAATACTGGCTTCTCCTTGGCCAGATCTATCAAGCTATAGACGTTCTTGAGCACGGCAGTTCTCCTTTTTTTCTGGCTTAGGTCGAACCACTCGGTCACCGTGGCCGTCAGTTGCTGTGTCGGTACATCCCCCTCCTTCAGGTCATCCAAATAGTCATCCTTCATATCGAACTGGAAAAAGCAGATGTAATGCTGCGTGGTGTTGGTTATAGTGATGCTGCTTCAGTTAGTCACTGCTTGATCAACCAGCAAGCTATTATATAAAAACATACCTTGCGTTGACAGGTTGTACCGTACGATCTCTGTCTCTGGCCATAACTGCCGCGTAGACCATCTGGGCGAGGCACTCGTCTGATATCATAGGGCTACCACCATCAACCTTGAGGCACCTCTTCGCCTCGACAAGAGCCACCGTAACATCTGGGTCGGGAAAAGCACCGTTGTCCTCATCTGGCTTGAGAGTCAATCCGCCATCGTCAATGGCAATGATCTGGCCATTCAGGCCGGTAGTCTCAAGGCTCATACGCTGTCGTTTGTCTCGGAAGTCGACTAGGGTTTCGACAAGAAGGGCTGTGTGAAGAAGGCTATGTGATTCAGGACGCGTCAGATTAGCAGCACGCTGTTGTATTCAGAGGGGAAGTCTTGCGCCGGGACTGCTTCGACTTGCTCGAGACTGCTGGGAGGGTTGTCGGGGGAGGAGGTCTTGTTCGCGGGGCTAGATCCGAATATTTGTTCGCCGAAAGGACCATAGTTCGCATGTACTGTGCTTCTTCGAACCCTCTTAGGTCGAGAAGTGCCTTGGTCACTTCCACTTGAAGCAGCATTGCCTCCAGTACCCAGATGCTGCTTATAGGCCGTGACAGCTGCCAAAGCAGCCCAAGCCTCTCCGAGGGATGTACCGTACTTGTGAACCAGGTAATGTTTGCTTGTATTCGGCTGCTCTGAGTCAGGTCCTTGAAGGAAATTGCATATTTCTTGGCGTGATGCCTCAGGGGTATCTGAATCATAGGCGAACTGTGTGTCTTTGTATGCGGGAAGCAGGTTATTCTTCTTTTTTCAGACGATAATGTGACATAGGAAGAGTTGATGGGTGCCCCAACTGTTGCCGCAGACACCGAGGTAACTGATAGACAAGAAAGAAGCATCTTTTCTTTTTACCAGTGCCTCAATACTTGTTTTGTACTTGCCTTCAGATGTGATTGCATCAAAATAAGCTTTTTCCATGTTCCCCTTGGTAGAAGTGTTGTGCGTCAGGCACAAGAGTGTATCTGTCACAGGTTATGTGGTGGAGAGTCACTATGCTGCCTGGAGCCTGGACTCTGAAATCTTATTTTGAGCTGAATCCCGCAGAAAGATGCCGCTTATCGAGGGACTTACCTGAAATCTAAAAAGGTCTTCCAAAAAGGGATAACGGATCTCAAGAAGATGTAGTTTCGAATATACAGAGATACGCAGTTCAAAATAGGTATGCCTCGGTCGAGAGTGTGAGGAAGCAAGCCAAACTTGGGGTCTGTTTGGTTAGGCGGACCGCGGATGACAAGGAGGAAGGGATATCTTGAGCTACTGAAAAAACAGCCAGTATACTGCATGAAGCGCTTCGTATTAATCATTGTCCGAAAACAAAATCAGTTTCGCTGGTCAAGTGCGCAAGCGGGTGAAGATAACAATCAATCCAATTTATGAATCCTGCTGAGAGTTAGTTAATGCTTGTTGGGCGGATTACTTTTGTTGCTTTTTCCTTCGCTCTCAAAACAGCCAAAAAAAATTTAGAAAGAAGAAGGGATGATGTTTCTGATGAGGTCATCCGAAAACAACAACGCACAGCAAAACGCAGTGTTTATGGGATACCAAGTGTCAATGCAAATGAGGAAGATGGAGCTTGGGATCGCCAACTGGGGAGCCCAATGTAGATAGGATAGACGAGGTGGGGCTTTGCGCTGAGTGGAAGTTACGGCAGCGCTTTTCAAGCTGCATTCTCAGAAGGCCATCAATCTATTATCGAGCTTCTGTGTGCAAGGGGCGCATGAAAGGTAACGCCTGTCGTCTCGGGTGTTCCTGGGAGCGTCAGACTTGTTTGTGTCCGGCCCAGCCGATCTTCCAGCTTAGAAATTTCATTTCCCTTCCAGCGAGTCTTGAATGTTGTTCGAAAGCTCTTCCACTTGTTTCCGGGCTACCTTGAACCTTGAGTAATGCCACAATTTGGTGTAATTGTGTACAGTCTTCGTGGCAAGACCTGCATGGTTCGGCTATCGCCTCAATTTGTTTAACGCACTGCCTACCACCAGCGTTCATTGATGTGTGCAAGGAAAACTCTTACTCGTGTAACTTGCTACATATTGTTTCATTGTTTGAGATATTGCTGCTTAAACTACTTGTGGGCCGTATATCTTGGTGTCTTTTGAGATCAGAACTGACGCAAGTCTCACAAATTGGGCGACTAATGCCGCAAGTCCAAATGTTAATGCAGAATCCATTATTATTGACAAGATAGCAAGGGAGGGCGACTGATATTACTGATAACGGGCTGGATGTATGAGGCCTTCACTCAGCCAAATCATGAATTTCATGGTCAACATCCATCCATTTTCAGAAGCGTGTCGCCGCTAACTCTTAAGGTAAAGCTGGGGTTTGCTCGTTAACCGAGGTAGGTGTTATAATTTACGGAGATACAGTGATATATCCGCGACAAGCTCACTGTGACGTGGCAATCAATTTGCAATTTGGACTGACTTAGTTCTACTTACATTACTTAAGCAAGGTGGCATGTATTACTGTCGGAATGCTACTGTATATCGGTAAACTCGTCGGATATTCTTTGTTTGGCTTAGTACGGCGGCGCCATCTCGGTAACCTTATGACACCACTATAGCCATTATGTGATACTTCTAGTATTATAATATATATCTTATAATTATTATACTTATCCTTTATTTACATAGTATAGTTAAATAGTCTACTAAAGAAATAAGTGTATATTTATAGACTTAGGATATATTATAATTATATTATAAAAGTAATATAAATATCTTATATGAGAATAAATCCAGTAACCTGAGCTGATTAGGCTATGCTTGAATTAAGCTTTTAACCACAGCGGGTCATCCCCGCTCGGAAAATCTAATTACATTTTGATATCTGGTTATAGGTGGAAATTACTGTTTGCATATTCCAGATTTTTTCGCACTCGAATGACGCTGATCACATTATCATGCGCGCTTTGTTGCATCCTGGTTGAAGACCCTGTTTCTAAGACCTATCCCATTCGGAAAACAGTAAACAAGTCTTGTACACCGAGGCGGTCAAAGAACAGTCACCAAAGATCTCATGCAGTTGACTAAATACCATGAGTCAGGTTCAAATACATTTATTTATATTCCTCAACTACCGTCCTCAGCTCGAATCTTGCTCAACTTAGATAGCTACAAAGTTACATCTTCTGCACCTTTCAGCATGCGTTCGACCAATTACCTTTCCACGGCCTCCTTGATTCTCGGACTGAGCTCATCGGTTGTCCAGGCCCAGATCAAGCCTATCCCCGAGTTCTTTAACCTCACTGCCTTCCCAAAGGAGCAGAAAGAAAACGTTACGCGTCTTCTGAACGAAGGAAGGCGGCTCGCCACAGATGGCTCAATTCACCAGTATTTCCAGGATCAATGCATCACCCAACAGGTATATCCAGCTATGTTCACCATGCCACCCGGCTTCGTGAACCCCTTCGCGGCTTTCGACAAATTCTTTTTTGTCGGCCACGCATATGTTTCTGCCTGGGCGTATGATACTGGTTATGGCTTGGTCTTGATTGACGCCCTCGATAATCAGGACGAGATTAAGAAGATACTGGTACCAGACTTGGAAAGGCTTGGCTACCAAGGTAGCGATATCAAGCACCTTATAATCACACACGAGCACATTGACCATTTTGGAGGAGCCAAGTACATTCAAGACCAGTTCAATGCTTCTGTCTACGCTGCCGAGGCCGCATGGGAAGGCATGGCTGAACAAGGAGAGGATTCTAATATGCCAGTCCCAGTCAAGGACAAGGTGGTTGTCGATGGCGATGCCCTCACCTTTGGAGATGTTACCTTTGAGATTGTGCAAACACCAGGGCACACTCCCGGCACGATTTCACTCATCTTCCCGGTTGTTGACAAGGGCAAGCGTCATTTGGCCGGTCTATCTGGTGGCACCGGTACACCAGCCGCTAAGACTGCGCGAGAACAGAAGATCGAGTCACAGAATCGGTTTGCCGAGATTGCCAAGGCAAAGGGGGTTGATGTCCTTCTTTCAAACCACAATGTCGCCGACCATAGTCTTTCTAACGCCGATATTCTCGCCCATCGTGCCCCAGGCGCCTCCAATCCTTATGTCGTTGGAGTTAAGAACTTTTACAACTATATGAGGATTAATGCACTGTGCAGCCAGGTTATTGCCGCTCGTGAGGGAATGGACTTGGACGTCTAGTCTATGTATGGCTGGAAGTAAGGTTTTAAATACTCCAGACCAGATAAGCTTGCATAAAAGTCGGAATTCTATATATGTAAGTATTCTGTGATTAATCTTGCTTACATCAACTAATAATTTATTCTGTTAAATATTTATTTATTAAGGAAAATTATTTTTTAAAATAAGTTAGGCATAAAGCTAAGATAATATTGACTTATTAAATACATTCTTAAGAGTAATAAGTAACCTCTATAAAACTAAATCAGGCTGCCTTTAGCCCTTTTCCTAAGAAAGACCTTTCATTAAACTCCTGTTCTGCGACCTGAGAAAGTGGAAGACCCTGGAAATATCCATTGCCAGTCGTTCCAACTGCCTCCCAGGTGGATTTGGCTTCATGCTCGCCAATCGTCAAAAGTGGTTTTCCTGATCCAGCGGAACTCGCGTCTGCTAAAAGTTGGATTTGACAGCATCTCTCTAGCAGTACGAACCATGCGATAGTAGCCTCAATGGTAGGCCCGACTGTCATGATACCGTGGTTGCCCAGAAGAGCTGCTTTCTTGGTACCTAGAGTTGCGGCAATGGCTCTGCCTTCAGCCGGGGCTAGGACAAGCCCGGCAAAATTCGACCATAGTATATGATCGTTCCAAAATACGCAAAAGTCCTGGGTGAGCATATCTAGTGTCCTTCCGGTAGCGCAAAAAGCCCGTCCGTAGGTACTATGCGAATGTGCCGCGCAGAGGACATCAGGGCGAGCCTTGTGTATCTCTGCGTGAATAGCATAGGCCGCTAGGATAGAAGTGTTAGAAACCATGCGTATTCAACACTGCCAATTCGAAAGCGAACGAACCATAATTCAATCGTCTATTCTTTCCTCCATCAACTACTCTACCCTCATGATCGACGCGAATCAGGTCTTCGTCGCGGATAAGGGAGAAGTGTAACCCTGAGCGGTGGTGGGATTAGTAAAGCGTGTGAAGACAGTCGCAGGATCATATGCGGTCCGCAAAAGACATACCGAAAGGGTTGACCCAGAAGCTGTTGGGGTTAACAGGATCCCTCACAGTTACATGTCCAGCAACGCCTTCGGCAAGACCGAAATTGGCTAGAACCCGGAATCCTAGTGCTAGCCGGTGCTTAACATACTTGCGCTCCTCATAAGGGTCATCGAACGTGGGAGCTTTTTCGGCTTCATCATCTACAAAAGCCAGACTTGGGTCTCCACTTCGATATTCTTCCGTGTTTGCTAAGGGCGACATGATAACGACTTGTAGTAAGAGAACTTTAGATATGTATTAAAGCGGCTGGATAAAGCTTGTGAATGACTAGCTTTATAACATTTGATGTTATATGTCTGGATCTCACGGAAGGTCATTCCGATTTACAATAATAAAGACTTTACCTATTCGAGGAAACCTCGGAATAAGGATACTTGCTAGCAAGTCACAGACACGCCGTATAGCCATAGCGTGCTATAATATTCTGCCGGTTGTTATTAGTAATAGCCGAAATAATGCATTATCTCGGGTCGGATCTAGAGTCTCGGCTTACTTAAACCCCGCATTTCGGAAAACAGTCTAATAACAAAGAGTCTAAAAGAAATAAAGTTACCCGTTGGCTCGAGCCGGGGGAGGCCAACTAAGCTTGCTTAGTTGGCCATAAAACTATAAGACATATATAAAACCATAAGACATATATAAAACCCTTAAGACTTATATAAAACCCTAAGATAATGGCAGGGTTAGTTTTTAGGTAGTAAAAACAGCTTCTTTAATAACTTAATA